TTCTAGTTTTCCTTCTGTCGTTGATTCTTAGCTTCATTCTATCATTTTTTGGAAAATATATTTGTATGATTTCAATCTCTTTACATTTGAGACTTATTTTGTGGTATAACATATAGCCTATTCTGGAAAGTATTCTATGTACACTTAACAATGTGTACTCTGTTGTTATCACATGGAGGGTTTTATATACATATGTTAGGTTTAGTTGGTTTATAGTGTTCTTCAAGTTTTCTATTTCTGTATTGATTATCTGTCTAGACGTTCTGTCCATTATTGAAAATAGGGTATTGAAACCTCCAACTATCATTGAACAACTGTTTATTTTTCCCTTAATTTCTGTCAATTTTTAATTAATATATTTTGAGGCTCTGTTTTTAGATTCTCATATATTTATAGTTGTTATGTCTTCTTGATGAGCGAGCCTTTATCATTATATAAAGTCCTTGTCACTTGTAACAATTTTGATTTAAAGAGTATTTTGGTTAACATATGTATGAAATATACTTTTTCATATTGAGTTATTTCTGATTATATTTAGGATTTTTTTTCTTTTTCTTAGGCTTTCAATATTTTGATTTTGTGGTTTCTGGGTGTGTATTTCCTTTTGTTTATACTATTTGGAGTTCATGAATCTGTAGTTAACTTTTTTTTTTGTAAATTTGGGATATTTTTAGTCATTATTTCTTCAAAAATATTTTTGGGGCCTATCTCTCTCTCTTCTCTTTTTCTGGCATTCCCATTATGTGTATGTTGGTGCTCTTCCTGGTATCTTACCTTTCTCTGAGACTGTTAATTCTTTTTTGTCTCTATGTTCTTTAGATTTAAATTCTGTAAAGTTTTCAGTGTAGATATTACTAGGAATAGCACTACATGCCCTTCCTCAGTCACTGTAGTAATTAATAATGCCACAATGAATAAATGCAGCTGCCAGACCAGGAAAAAAGGCAATGTTGATGGATCCATGGATCCCAGTGAGCGTGGGAGAGAACAGCAGAAAAAGTAAGGAGGGCCACATCATGAAGCCACGAGAAGGTTTGGAGCAGAGGAGTGAGATAATGTGATGCTGTTTTAAAATGACCACTCTGGTTGCTTTTTTTCAATCTACTTTAGGGAGAGCATGGGCAGACACTATTGCAATAATCCAGGCAGGGAGATGATGGTAGCTTGGACCAGATTTCTAGCAGTAGCTATAGTATGAATCGGTAGAATGTTAGATATCTTTTAAGAACCTTCGGATTTCCTAATATTCTGAATGTGTGGTGGGCCTGTGAAATATCCTGCTTCTTTCTCTCTTTCTCCTTTTATGATGAATTGGTGGAACAGGGTAGGGAATATTTGGCCTATATCTAAGTAGAGTTGAGGGTCTGGATCAGGGAGAATGTCCTCGTAATGGGTGGAAATGGATAGGCAATGTGGGTCATTGTCATGACATGAAATGGAATTGTCCCTGGGCATTCTTCCTCAGAGCACAGGAGAGAAGGCACTGAGAGCGGTCAATGGGGCTGCTGAGGACATCTGAAAATTTTGTGTTTTTCCTCTCTCATCTATTATTATCTTTTGAAGTTTAACATTCTTATTCTTCAACCAAAAAAGGCTGTATCTTTTCTAAGAAGTGAGTTTAGTTTCACATGTCCAAAGCCACTCCTTCTATTAAGTGGCTATTGCTAACCCTTCACCTGCACAGTTTTCCCTAGTCAGAGCCCAAGGCCAGAAAGCAAATTTCCAGAACGCTCAAACACAATCCATGAGACTTTGTGGGGGCTCTGAAAACAGCCCAGGGCTATGTGATAAGAGGCTGTAAACTATACTTATGGTCCTCAAAGAGCTTTGGATGGGGGAAGAAGGATATGGCCAGGAAAAAAAAAAAAAAAGTTTCTCTAATGTTCTCCCTATGTACACAATGATTCTAATGATGGTTTTGAACATTTATTTAATGTTTGGTGCTGTGGCATTCATGCATTAGAGCATTCAGCACATCAACACTTTAAAGTAATTACAAGTTTCTTTTTTTTTTATTGATGAGTTAAATGAGGCTCAGAGCAGAGAATCACTTGCTTCATGTCCCCCAGCTGGCAGTTGGTGGAGCTCAGATGTAAACTCAGGTTTGTCGGTGGATGTAGCCCGATGCCATACCTCTGAAATGCTACATTATATACTCAACTACATGCACTTTTGGCTCTATATTCCAATTAATCTGCTCCTGTTCTCTAAACAGAATATTTTTCTACATTTTGATACCTTTGCTCCCCGTAGATGCTTTATTGTTTTGAATCAAGGTAACGGGAAAACTAGACCATTTTTTTGAGGAAAAACAAGGAAGGAAGTACAATTGTTTTGAGGGATGATTGGGTGAGTGTGTTTAGATAAGCTAGGATCCTACATAACATATGTTATGCTAGCCAGTAGGAAAATATTAGGAATGCTTTTATTTTTAATATTATTTTTAATGTTTTACAGAAAAAAGTGAAATCAAATCTGTCACATATTACCACAAATACAAAGGGTATGAATGTATTAAATCTATTCAGTATAATTACCACAACTTGAAAATGCTTTATTCACTAGCTACAAACTTTATATACATTTATTTGTTATATACATTGAATTTTTGCCAAGCTATTTTACAACACATAATTACTGAGCTTGTACAGAACTACTGGACTTTATTCTCGATTTTTGCTTGGCCCTAAGGGAAATTTTTGCAGTCTTATTATTCTACATGGCTAGTGTCATGCTTGAGTTCCTTAACTTTTGGCACACTATCAATGAGTGGGAACTCAAATCGTTACTGTAAAAAGTGTGAGAAATTGTTATACTTCGCCTGCTTCTGTATTTGATAGAATAATTTACTAGACATTAAGCAGAAGTTTTCTGATGAAATTCTGCATTAACAAAAATCAAATTCAAATTCTGAGCTGGCTAACATTGCTTTTTCACATTTATTTTGTGCTTCTGAGGTTTCATACCAAGGTTTTTAGCATTCTTCTGTGTGCTTTGTAAGGGTGGAGTTTACTTGAAATTCATAGGATTTCTTTATAAGAGATTGGCAGGATCTGGAAAAGAATATGAAATTGGCTTCTGGGTCAGAAATGTCACTGTCATGAGGTTGGGAGATGGAATAATGCAGCATCATAATGAGCTAGCTAAAAAAATAGATGTTAGATTAGATTCCATAATAGTTATGTTTGCTTTAATTTTTTTTCCCATGCAAGTAATTTCAAAATCATTTTGTCCAGATGCAAAATAATGAAAATACAATGTTTATCATTATTTTTGTCTTTCAAAAAGAGAATGTTTAAAAGGATGCAAGTCTTTTTAACTCTTTCAGATTTCTCTCAAAATAGTTGTATTTTTTTTCTGCTGATCTAAATATATCCCCCAAAGCCCTAGAACATTAAAACAAATCTGCCTACTGTTTTTAGCCAGTGTTTGCCTTCAAACTATGAAAAAGATTCAGTGAGTTTTTACATCAGAGGGCAGAGTGAATTTTGAACACAAATTCTTCCAAACCCTGACAAATATGACAACATTGGCATAGCTGTATTTAAAGTGACTCCTACTGAAGCTGATTTCCATGTGTAGTATTATATAATTCTCAGTGACGAAATTCATAAAAAGGGATAAAATCTTACCTCTTTCATATTATATTCATTGATTTTATTGTTATTATTTTTCAAATTTTGAATTCATAAAATTTTGTTTTTTAAGTCTTGATTTAAGAGTCATGAGTGTTGAGTGAATGATGTCAATTTTTCCTAAAGAGTATGAAAAAGATACCATCTAGACCTCAGGTATTTCTGTCATTTAGAAGGATGATACTAAGTAAGCAAAACAACAACAAATCTACTAAAAAAGAAAAAAAGAAAGAAAAGAAAACAAACATAACAGCCGATTGGCTCAGTTTTTTTCCTTAAACGTCTTAGCAAATTATACTGACTTTCTCTAACATCTGTGAAGTCCAGGAGTTGTTTTTCAAATGTATTTTGTTAGTGGCTGACTACATTGAATCTGAGGGCCAGACTTCACATTTGCAATCCACAGCTGAATATGGTTCCATAGATCTAGAACATTCATTAATGCTAGTCCCATATTCATTTGTAAATTTGAGAAGACAATCTTTGCTTTAAAATATTAGGTTTCTTTTCTTGACACCTTAATGAACACTTAAGAACATTATATTCAATGATTAGATACTAAATAATAATATATTAACTTATCTAAAGCATGCACACCAACTTGATAGACTTTATTAAGCTATTTGTGTCAACTCTGTAATGACCACTTACTATTTCAGCATTCTATTTTGAATTTAACTCTTTGAATTTGTTACATACATTAAAATGATTGTGTCTGCACAATCGAATGTGTTCGTATGTGCCTGTTCATTGGTGAAATATGAAGAAATTCAGCTTCAAGACGTGGTAGGGTTGTTTAGACTTGTGACACTTTGTAACAATTAAATATTTCTGGCTTTGGGTCCAAATAAAGAGGAGAATTGGAAAATTTAATGTCTTGTCAGTAATAGACCATAATTTGCTCTTGAATAATTGCTTTTATATCTTGTTCTTCAAAAAATAATAGTCGGTTCTATATCGATGAAGTCATAACAATCTGGTAAAGTGTTAGGGGTAATTATTTTAACTGGATAGCTTTAAAAATCCAATGAAATATTTTAAAGGGGAAGTTTGTGCTGTACATCCACATTCTCAGAAGGATTCTGCTCTCTTGAGCAGGACTGACAGTATCTCTAATTCAAGGAAAGATGATTTATAAGCACTGAAATCTGGGAGATAAATTCTAACTTAATGGTATACCTTATTTTGTTATGGCTCTCAAAAATGTGTCAGTATATTTTTTCTTGTAGTAAAACACATGCTTCTGTAGAACTATTAGCTCATTCCTTTCTGGGGGTACTTCTCAAATAGCTAAGCAGAGAATAAGAAAGCTGTCTCTGTGGACAGGTGTGTTTTATACTCTTGTTTGCTTAGTTATCAAAGAATAAATTTAAAGCCCATTTTATTTTTTGAGAGAGGCAAATATCCTAATAGAATTTTCGTTATATTTATGTGCTACCTTTCTCAATTAAAGTGTAGCTGCTTAAACATTGCCCTTTTGTTTCTGGAGCACATGTAGGACAGGACTGACATACGTCAAGAGAACTGGGGCCCGTGCCGGCACCATGGTGGCCTCACGCTACTCTTTTCACTTCAAGAAACAGATTTAGGAACACTCATCCATGGAAGTGTAGGGTGAGCTTATGAAACTTGAAGTTGTGGAGGCAGATTTAGAATTCCTGCGAGAGCATTCATTGAAGCTTGGGTCTCTTGGAGTCGCTCTCTTCTTTCGACTGGATTTGGCGTTGTCAGAATCACTGGGCTCAAATACCACTGTCATGGACTCCATTCTGGTCACAGTGTACAGGCTGCTCTGCCGAGTTGGACGAAACCTGGTGGTCTTGAGCTCCAGCTCATCATAGCTAGAAACTTCAATGAAAGGACACCAGCGAAATGCTCTCTTGAAGCCAGCTCGAAATCTGAGGAGAGGCAGGCCACAGGAAGAAAAACTCATGTTTTCAAGAGGAAATTTCTTTCAAGTGCCACAGAAAGCCCTATTTATTTAAGGCACTAAAACCAACTTGGGTTTTGAATTTGATTTTCTGATCAAACTCTTAGAATTTATGCCACAGTATTATTACTGGTCTTTTAAGTTCTTGTTTGAATTGAATCTTAATTTCCCATCAAATAGGAAAAGCACAGCATTGGGTAATCAATATGCCAAAGAAACAGTGTACATTTCTCCAATAATTTCACACATTTGCATAAGTGTAATTGAATTAGGCTTGCTGCTTAAAATACTTAAAAATTACAGATTTCAAATCAGCTTCTTTCAGATATAATTACATATTTATAAATTAAAGTCTTATTTAATGTTAGAATTAATTGTTAATCTTGATGGTTTTTACGTAAGCAAATATGAAAATGCAAAATTCTTGGCGTTGTAAACCATGAAATGAAATTGATTTAAAAACAGATGTACAGCTTGTGGGGTGGCTGAATTGACACATGGCTTATGTAATTAATGAAAAAAAGTAAGAATTAAATATTTATCAAACTTAAGGCACAATGCGGTGGAGGCCTGACTGGGAAGAGTTTACGTTTCAGCTCCTGCAGTTATTTACATGAAGTTCCATTTCTACGTGTACTCAAAGTAGCTCAAAACCCGTTCATTTATCAACCCTATGAAATTTAACCCTACCTTTCCATGAGTCAACCTTACAACTAAGGTGTTTTCAGTCTGGAAACCACATTTTAGATTTTCTTATTAGTCTTAAAATTAAATGTAACTAGTCCTTTAAAAAAAAACCCAAACACTTCACTTTACGAATAACTTTTCCCTGACCACTTCAATTTCTTCACATCCAATTGCCAGGGAGGCTGCGCCCTCTCTTACTAACCTCGTTATGCAGGAAGGCAGCTTATAATTCCCTTTGTCCTCATGTTGTTTCTGTCACCCTCACAGCAACAACTTCTATTTCGAAGTCTACTTACAAAACATCCTTTTTAATGGAGCACACTCTCATATGCCATCATCTGTGCATTTCTGTGAAGTGTCTTCATTTCTCTGAGGACATGAGCACATTTTTAACTCACTTCCTTCAATCATGAGGACATTTCTTTTTCTTTGACAGATAAAATTGTGAAGGTTTTGGAGGGAGAATTTGACCCATTAAAAAAATTGCCCAGTTAGAAACTCTTAAGAACATTGCCTTAAGGATGTAATTGATGTAATTGTTAAAATAGGGTATTTCATAACGTATGGGGGAATCTAGAAAAATAGACAACTGTGCTTTTCTCAGTGAATTTTTCAATTTTCCCTTCCTTTTGCATTTTAAATGTGCACTAGAAAACTGGAACAACATTATATGCTTCCAGCGAAGCCAGGAGTGACAAGAAGCTTGCATTTGCTAATTTTGTTTTTACCTCTTATTTAGACAGCAGTAAATGATGGGATTGTACATGGTCGAACTCATTGCCAGCCAAAAGCTAGCCAGGTAGACCTGCTGGATGTATTTCCACCTATTTAGTTGTTGATAGATTGCAGTGAGAATGAAGTAAATATGATAGGGGAGCCAGCAGATGGCAAATGTCACCACAACAATAATCATCATTTTTACAACCTAGAAGAAAAGAAGGAAAAGGTCATTTTTGGAAAGTTTAAAAGTCATTAAATACATTAGTTGCAATAGCTTACTGCAAATCATATTTTCCTGCCATACAGTTAAATATATGGCATTTGTAAGGAACAGTCGATATAATTTTTTAAATGATGAGGTAATAAAGTGACAGTTGCCTAAGGTAAATCTCAAGAAAGCATACCTGTGTCACCATTCCATCTTTATCTAACCCATGTTAATGTGTGGCACTGACTCAAACAGAAACAAGTATATTTTAATTGGCCTGAAGAAAATAAGTGCTTATTAAAATCCAAAGAGCCTGGGGGAGAAAGAAGCAGGAGTTAAGATTTGGCTGTGCTCACCTGCAGTGTTAAACAGCAGAGACATTGTATCTAGAGAAACTGTTGAGTCACTTTGAGGGTGTAAGGGCTGGCTGGTTCCTCATCATTTATTATAACCTGACTATAGCATAAGACTATTCAGATTTCTTTACTCTAATACCATGCTCACTGGGCAATCTTCTGAATATTAACTTGGTTTCTCTTATAAACTCATATTGAGAAAAGTTTCTCTGGATAGTGATTATGATGTTCACATTACTCTGAGAAAACATCACTAACTTTAAATTCGTAAATAAGCAATCAGTTTACACAACTGGTTTTTACATTAGCTCTTATGAGTTTGGTAAGCCTCTGTTTCCACACTTTTGAACCAAAATATTCTAGAAACCCTAGCCAAAGTAGAATGTCAACCTCTATTTCTCCTCCACTAGGCCTTGAATTCCTAAAAGGCAGAAAGAATGTCATAAATATGTTCATATTCCCAGCAGCTAGCATAGTCCCTATATAGTTGGAGGTAGATAATTAGGTATAGAATAAATGAATAATGAATGACAGTATACAATTTGTAACAGGAAGTTGAATGGGAGAATGCTTTGTGTGTCTCTAAATGAATTAAAGTATGTTCCATTGTCGGTGTCTATGAGAAAGATGGACTTGAAGTTATTGAACACTAAGCAGCTTGGCTTTGTGTGTAAAAGGAAATAATAATATCCTATAATTACCTCATTTAATATTTCTCATTATCAATCTGTCTACTAAATTTGTTCATACTTTTCTTGGGAGTTTAGAAATAGTAGAACACTTAGAATAACATATCAGAACACAAATCAGAGAGTCTCTACATAAATGGCCTGTGTGGCACCTTAGACTTATGAAAACACATTATTTATGTGTTTACTCCACTTGTCATTTGACTGCAAGCTGGAGACAGATGAAAGTTGGCAAGGTTTAAGATCATAGAGACATGATTCTAGAAATAGACAAAGCATGAAATGGATTAATGTGGAAGGCAAAGTTATCCCCAGGGCCTAATCACTGTACCATCCAGGTGACTAATACTGAACTGATAGAAATTGGCCACCAGACCTGAAAATCCAGGTCATAGCTCATAGAATGTCATCATTGGCCACACCATGGAAAGTCTTTTGATTTTCTTAGGACTCTGTAAATTGCGTTTTTTTTCTAAACAACTGTATTTAGATTTCTGCATTTTATCTCTATTTCTTATTCATATATATTGGTGGAATATAAGCCATATTTTATTATAATTTGTATGTATATGGTGTTTTATATATTTAACAATTTAATTAGTTTTCAATTGCATTTTAGGAAACTGAGGCAAAGACCAAAAGATTTGATGACTATGATTCACGGAACAAAGTTAGAGCCTTGAAATCTCAGATTCCTACATCTGTTTTTCTGCTTACAGTTAATAGCATTCATTGAATATCTATGGCATCTAGAAAACAGTATAGAGAATAGTAATGAATAAAGGATCAATTCCTTATTCTGAATGATTTTACAATATAATAAAAAATGTTTTACAAAAAGTGCATAGAAATGTGGTGAATATAAATATGTGTAAATACAATTGAAAATAAAATTTATGAGAACTTACTAGTTTATTATAATGACAAATGACTCAATGCATGATAACTGTAGGCCCAGCCAGATAGACTGAATGAAATGAATTCTGTTCACTTTTTTCTTCTTGAATATGTGAACATCATTCTATTCCTTGAACACCGAAGGCAAGCTCCTGTCCCCCTTGTTCTTACTGGCTCCTCCCTCTAGAACACTCTTCCCACAGTTATTCCCACTGGCTAACACCTTCATCTCCTTCAAGCCTTTGCACAATTCTCGTTTTTTCTATGAATCCTGTTCTGACCAACCTATTTAAAATTACAGTCTGTCTTTCTAGCCCTCCCCAAATCCCTTAGCTTGCTTTTTAGTTTCAGTTTATTTGTTATGTTTGTTCTTTACTTTGTGTCTCCTTATGCTCAAATATAAAAGAGCAAGAATTTTCTGCTTATTTTGTTTACTGATATATTTCAGCCTATAGACTAGACTTCATACATAATAGGTACTCAAATTTCCTTAAATAAATAAAAGTGAATACAAAAAGAAAGAAATCAAAAGATGTCCATGGTTTTACTCTGTCATTATTTGCTGGTCTCATTTGTCCACCAAGTTTAAAATAGGCACAGAGATATAAAATGAGCCTGGTATTTACTGTGATTTCCATTTTTTAGGCAAACAAATTCAGGTAAAGAGTTTGAGTGCACAAACAGTATAACCAGTATGTTATTTGGGGTGCATGAAAGCATAAGCATTAAATTTCATTATCAAATTGCTCTTGTTAAGAGAACAGAAAAAGTATCTATAACAATGTAAACAAGGTGCAGGCTACTATGTTAAATACAATATTAGCAAATGTACCTAAATCTTATTTGAATATTTTTATACAGACTGACCACAAACTCTCCATGCATGAACTTGTTTTCCAATGATAGCTGAAGAGCTGCAACAGCGATCTGAGTCTTTTAAAGTAATTTACAACCATCAATGTGGGAAAATGCCCAGAATGTGGGGAAAATCAAATGAATGTACAGAAGTCACTAAATTAAAATGCATCAAAACAGAGGTATCAAATAACTTATTATTCACATATATACAGGCTTATGAACCTTGTTGCAAAACATTTAGTAACTTATTTGAAGACTTTCAGAAAAAAATCTAAAAGACCCTGAAAGAAAGATCTTCTTTAGATATGTGTTGTAGTCAAGCATGTTTCTGTTTCCTTTAGTCCAGATATGGGCGCATGCATTTTTCATCTTGTGTCTTCAGAACTTAGCATAGTTCTTGACAAATTTAATAAATACTGGTTGACTGTGGATATCTGATTTTCCCATCCATTTTACAGTTTAAATGCAAGAACCATTATTTATCTTTGTCTTACCATTGTTTTGCTCTATCATGCACATAATAAAAATTCAAAAATATTATTTAAGTGAATAAAACAAAAATGCTTTAGAATATTTTATACATTATTATTGCCCTTGGCATTTGTATTTAGCAGGATGTTTGGAAAGAATAGTTATTTGAGACTTTGATGGTACAGCCTTGGGAAAAAAAGTACACTTGACTTACTTAGATTAAAATTATTCTATAATAATGATTTTTTTCTAAAGAAATCAAATTTTAGAGTCTAGAGATACAGTGCTGAATTAAAAAAGAGAATGTTATCTGTTTTTACATCACATCCTATTATAGAGACAGTATTAAATAATAAATACACAAATATATAAGTAATTACAAATATGATAAATTCTATAGAGAAAAAATCATATCTAGATATTTAGAATACAATGAAAGGTCTCTTTGAGGAAGCAACATTAAAGCTGAAACCTGGAGAATATACAGGCAGAAGAATGAAGAACACATCAATTGTAGGCCCTGATAATAGTGTGAGTGAAGGCTAAAAAGTGGGAGAAAGTTTAATGTGTTCAAGCAACTGAGTGCAAATGTCATTGAAACACAGAGTAAGAATGGCAAAGTTGCCCAGTTATATTGGCAGAGTAGTTGGTAGCATGGTTCTGTAGGAACTTGTAGTTTATTTTTGGAGTTTGCAATTTCATTCATTTATTTTCTTAAATATATTGGTAAACCATTAAGAAATTATAAGCAGATTGCATGAGTTGATTCACATGTTGGATTTTGAGTGGATAATGAATTTGAGAACAAGTATAGATCTGGAGAAACCAGTGGAGAGGTTTGTTTCAGTGAGCCTGTTGATCAGTGATAGCATCTTAGAGTATGTCAATGGAGATGGAGAGAATTAGAAAGATGAGAAATATATTTAAGGAGGAGAATCATTAGGATTTAGTGATGGATCAAACAAGGATGAGAGAGAAAATGAGGTTTTAAAAATGACTTTTCAGAATTCGATATCCAGGTGAATGGAAGTACCATTTACTGATATTTGGATGACTATAGGAAGAATATGCTTTTATGGATATGAAGACCTAAGCTCAGTGTCGAGTTTTGTATATTATAACTTTAAAATACCTGAGAACTACCAAAGCAAGTATGCAGCTGATTATAAAAACTTAGAGCTCATAGAGGAAGTATTAATTTGGAATATACATTTCAGAGTCAGTGATCTATAGATGTAATTTAATGTCATGGGATAAATGAAATTACTTAGAGAATGAAGAGTGAGAAGTGGTCCAAAACAAGCCCAGGTAACTCAGACATTTTGAAGTTAGATAGAGGCAAAGAGTTGGAAAGGATATGAGGAAAAAGCAATCAAAGATTTGGTAAGAAATTGACTAGAATGTGGTCAGAAAAGTTAAGAGAAGCATTTTCGTTTTGTTTATTTTTTTCTCCTCCTTTAAGAGGGAGGATTGCCTATCCTGTAGAATGATGCTCCAAGTTTTAGCAACATAAAAAATTATAGTTTCCTTAAAGATAAGCAGTGAACTGAATGAGAGCCGTTCTAGTGGAGTTGTGAAGGCAAAATAAAAATTAACAGGGTTAAAGGTGACTGGGATGTGGCGAAAGCATTATAAACAACTCTTTTGGTTGTTTCTGTTGGCTATGGTGCAGGGATATAGGTTATAAGCTGGGGAGGTGGGATGGGGATGGGAGATCAAAAGATAA